GTTTTGGCGGGGAGTGGTGGAAATGTTTTGGAAATAGTGCTAGGGTTCCACAATAGTGTGAGTATACTTAATGCCACTGAATTGTATACTTTTAATGATTAAAATTTTATATTTATTTTACTGCAATGAAAAAGCAAAAGATCATGGCTATGAGAATTTTATTTTTGAAACCATACCTCTCCACACCATGTGTGGGATGGACATAAAGTCTTTAATGTACATTTCAAAAATTCCTTGCAGGGAAGATATAAACAATAGGCAGAGACAAATGCATGAGGTAGGGTCGTCCAGCTAAAATGGACCCTTCTACATATCTCAGCAAAGTAAAAATCTGAGAGGTTGTACTGGGAAAGCACCAGTTCTATGAACGACTTAACTTTTCTGAATAGGGCGTAAAATAACTGTTAAACCCATAAAAGACAACACATGGCACTCAAGAATGAAAAAAAAAAGAGTTCTTTTTTGTTGTTTCATTACTCAATGAACAGTTAGTTCTCTAGACTCCTGGAAAAAAAAGAAAAACAAAAAAACAAAGTGCCATTTAAAAAAAATTTCAAAATGTCAAGAAGACATATCCAAAATTGAAATAAAGTTGAAAAGATAAATAAAATAAGAATTCTTTTGCTATATTTGGTGGAGTCCTGCAGGGAAAAAAATTCCAGCCAGGCAGCATTGAGACATAGTTTATTAATGCAGTTCCCCCACAGCAGGACACAGAAAGAGAAACTGGTAAAACAGTCACATTAAAAAATTATGACTCTTCCGTCTGATCGTTATGAATACACAGAAAAGAAACAGCACTCCTGAGTCCTGCTTGGGTCCTGGTGAGACAGAGCTGCAAAGAACTATTACTATTTTTTACTCCAAAACAATATTTGCTCACACATGGTTGGAACAACTGAACGTTACTTCCCACATTGAAGAGATTTTTAAAGTATTCATAAAAAGACCCTTGAAAGGTTTTGGAGTGCTTCACCCAATTACATTTGGAACAAAATATTTCGGTCTTTTGTTTTTAAGGGCATACAGAATTGAAGCCTGTTTGTATTCCTCTTGGGGGAAAAATTTTTAGTTGGTGGTAAACTGGTTATAAGTGGAATTTCCCTAGAACCTGAGAGCTGGAAGGAAGCTTACTGATACTCTAAGCCAGTGTCTTGCATCGTGGAGGCTGTGATTTAGGGTCACAACTAGCAACAGGATGTAAAGCAGGAGGTAGAATAGAGTAAAATGGAATTTTAAAAAGTGTGTTGGACATACTGTTTCCTGAAACTGGTTTCAGGTGTGTGCGTGTGCGTGTGTGTGTCCTGGGTCACAATACAAAGCATGTGTCAGACTACATGCTCTGCTCAAAAATTTGGAAATTATCAATCTAGTCAATATACTCCTTTTCCAACAGGACAACTGGAGTCAGAGAGGGGAAATGAATGACTTTCTCAAGTCACACGGTAAGTCAGAAGTAGCCTGGGTCTCCTCCGTCTCAGAATCACTTCCATTAGACTCTATTCATCAACATATATCAACCTTGGCCCTGGTGCATCTCTGTACCATCTTGGCAGCTGCCATTCTGCTTCGTTCTAGATCATTTTTTGTGCTTCTGGATCAACTGGATTCCCTTTTCTCCTCTAACATCCCCACCACCCTTCTACCTTCTGGAATCAGGACAGGTGTGTGAGGAGGCAAATACCCAGGCTTGGCTGATCCATGGCTCATGGATAACTCAGGAGAGCCCAGGAGGCTGCAAAATTCCACAGCTCACTGCTCCCTGAAGCGGATGAGCCACTTGAGAGAATTATAGCCTCCCTGAAATAGAGGGAGGTACATATGACGGCTTCCAGAGAGGGCATTTTCAGAAGCAAGATAACCAGCTGACAACCATGGGCTCTGGGTAACCCCTGCCAGGCTTATGTTCTCTAGCTGGTCTTCCTGAGCCAAAACAGAAGCATGTAAAATGCGTTCTGTAACTGCAGTGACAGAGTTGGATTATGAAAGAAGATCCTGTCTGGGATTCAAGGTGCCTCTGGTTTTGACTTAGAGGAGGAATGATTTACTCCATCAATAAACACACATTTATATTGCATTTACTATGTGCCAGGGAGCCTTCTGAGGATATAATAAATATTTACTCATTTAATCCACATAATCAACCCACAGGCTCTAGAGGACTCTCCTAGCAGCAGTTGTAGTCAGAAGATGGAGAAGTATCAAGATGTGTTGAAATTACCTGTTTTTCTTTCTGATTTGAAGACAGGGGGGTGAGTATGCTTAATAGAATTTAGAACTATGTCACTGACAGAGCAAATTAATCAACAGTCAAATCCAGGGAGAAAAGGTCAACTGCCTACTTTCTCTTGGCAGAAGGGATCGGGAAGAGGATTGTTCTTGCAAAGATTCATCACTTTTTGATGCTTTCCAGAAGCGGTGATGGATTTGCAATGAGCCATCTAATTTTTTCTTTTCTTTTAAATCTCCCACATATATCTGTAGTATAGTATAGCTGTCTTGGTGCATGGAGTCTGCTTGGGTCCTGAAATCAACCACTGACATCCACGTGGAGATCAAACTTGCGCCCTTGGCTTGACTAGCCAGGCCCTTCCAGAGTGCCGGAAGAGGATCTTCAATAAATAATTTGTTGTGATGCTTTATCACGTCAAAAACTGATCCAACCTTGGAAACAGCTAGGTTTGGCTTTCATGGAGCACATTAGTAGAAGTTTACTGGAGTATAAGCAAGGAAAGAGGACAATGAAGTGAGTTTGGGGTTTTTTTGGATGTAACTATTATGTGCCTGTGTATTTTTACATGTTAATGTTTAAATTCTGTAATACTCTGATCGAATCTCCATTTCACAGATGAGGGAACTAAGTTGAATGACTTGCTGATGGTACATAGGTGAGGGGCAGGATTCAGAATTCGGTCTGCCTGCAGAGCCCATTCCTCTTTCCAAATCATGCTGTAGCCTGAAAGGCACTTTTGTTTTAATTTGGAAAATGATTGGTCCCCAGCAGCATTCACTGACCATGGCAAAACTTTAATGGATCTTTCCATGCCACAGCCTACTGACAATCCACAAGGAACAGTAACAGTTAAAAACGCTTCTCTGTAATTAAGTCTTGGTTCCCTTAACAACTCCACCATGTAATTAAACTTATTTCTCCAATAGGCAGATATGGTTCACTAAGGAATCTGAGAAGAGCCGTTCAAATTATGCTCAGTTTCTTGTTCATGGTTAGCCTTGGTCAAGTCTGGGCTTGACCAGGAAGAATGCAGAGAATGCCGCTGGCCCAGATCTCAACGGTGCCCAAACTGCATCAGAGTCAGGGCGCATTTCCTGTGCAGTCTGTGAAACTTCTAACTTATTTCTGCTCACTGTCTTCTAGACGAACAATAAACTTGTTGAGTAAAAATACAAGTTGCTAAATAGGTTGCCTTTACTTGGAGCAGTCTCCATTAACTGAGGCAGCAAATTGTAGTCATTCATCATCAGAAATGGAGAATGTTTTTTTTTTGGAGACAGAGTCTCATTTTGTAGTTCAAGCTGCCTTGAACTGTGTAGCCCACGCTGGCCTCAAACTCTCAGCCATCTGCCTGCCTCAGCCTCCTGAGTGCTAGGATTATACACGTGCCACCACGCCCAGCAGTACATTTTTTTTTTTTTTTTGAAGGTCTGATTAACAGAGGCCTTGAAAAAAAGACACCTTTGCCCTTCTGGTACATTCTGTGGCTATCTTGTGAAAAAATTTGGCATGCACCACAAATACTTTATGGACTGTATTTTTTTTTCCAGGTAAGATTTGACTTAGCATAAGGCACTGATAATAATGAGGATGACATTAAACAGTTAAATTACACATTATATTGTAGTTCAGAGTGGGAAGGGGAACCCACAGACCTCTGATATCTTTGTAAGTCTTTAAAACTCTAACTTTACAAATGCAAGTCGAATTAAAAACTTAAAAGTTGTCACCAAAAATTGCTTTGTGCTAAAGGTCATTAATAATAGAAAGATAATAGGCAAGATCACTTGGGCTCAGACACCAAATAAGATGCCAAGACAGATCAATGGGGCTGTAAAACAAAATCCAAAAATATTTTCTAAGTTTGCAGGCCCTGAAGAAGTAAGGATTCCAAAGTCATGTAAAAAGTACTGTATACTTTCTAGGCAATATAAGCAAGGGAATCATGCAGTTAGTACCTGGAGAAACAGTACAACCTCTTCAGAGGACTGGACGAGTCCAGATGTTGGAGAAGATGATCTCCTGAATGCAATGGAATTTCTGCCAGGAGATTAAAGAATTAATTTATGACTTTCTCTACTTGTTCGCAATATGTGTTCAGCCTATTATTTACACATTGTGATGCATGGTAATTAAGATGCTGAAAATAATGTGACCACTGTAGATAAGTTTAAGAGGGGACAATTTGTCATATTCTAGTCCACACATCTGGTTCTAGCGTATTTGCCAAATGGTTAATATAGGAATATATGACAATGAAGTTCTTTCTATCAGTTTTATTTGCCAGGAAATAGAACACTTTCTTCCCCTCTACCCCCGCATTTTAGATTGACCTCAAATTTCCAGCCCTAGGGTTTATCTGAATAGGACTTGAGAGACAGCTCTTGCCTTTGTTTAATTCTGTAAGTTCCACAGTCACAGTCCAGATGGATCTGCAGCCGTTGTTTTAAAAGTACAGCCAGGCCAGGTGTGGTAGAGGCATGTACCTGTAATCTCCGCACTCTGGGAGGCTGAGGCAGGAGGATACCAAGTTCAAACCCAGTTGGGACAATTTAGCAAGACCCTGTATCTAAATAAATAAATAAATAAATAAACAAACAAACAAACAAATAAGTGGCTGGGAGGTAGCTTAGTGCGAAGTCCCCTAGGCTCAATCCCTAGTACTGAGGTGGGTAGCCACACTTACATGGCAGAAAACCCTAAAGCTTATTCTACAAACAGACAAGGCATCAGATACCTACCAGATAAAACCACAGGAGTTAAATTCTAAATTTTAAACCCCCTTTTATTGAAATATAAGTTTGTTTAGTATATTTACACCACACTTTATGCACATATATACATAGAAAGGCAAATTCTGTCAAATAAAAAAAGTTTTTCTTAATAAAAAATTAAAATAAAAACAAAGTAAAGTGCACGGAACTGATTTTTCTCTTCCTCCTCGTGAACATTATCACTGTCAAAATTTTGGTCAGTTGGGAGGGGCAAGAAGAAGCAATTCGTTGTTCGACTCAGTGCGCACAGCCAGCCATGAATTCCTAGCCTTCAGGCCCAACCGAGGAGGAGAGGTCAGGAATGAGTCACACAAACCGGCAGGGTCTCTAGGGCTCCCCAGGGCGCGGAGGTCTCGCTCTCTTTGTACTACTGGGGCTGTCCCCGGCTCTGAACAGTGATCTCACCGCCGCGGCGCAGGAACAAAGGGAAAACACAGGAAGGGGGCTCCACCAGCCAATGTCACAGGCCTGCTCTGGGGCCACCAGCGCTGCGTTTGGTAGGAAATTGCAAAATTAGCTCAAGGTCAAACGGAAGTTTTCCTTTTTTGGAATGGGAGTGGGGCGTCGGTGTCCCAAGAAGGGGGTGCATCTCTCCTTGGGAGAGCCACCGCGGCTGGGGCCAAACGACAGCAGCCAGTTTCTGCGGATCCGATCTCCTGGCCGGCATCGGAAATAATCCTTTCACAGACTGGGTGGAGGGAATGTTAACGCTTCCAGCCTCGATGAGTTGGCCGTCCCAGATTTTGAAAGGAAACAGCGTGGGATGAAAAGAAAGGGGCAGGTGGGTGAAACAAGTTTTTAGACACTTTCGCGCCCAGGGCCATGGCTGGCTATTGGCCAGCTGGTCCCAGGCGCTGGCACAGGCGACAGCCCTTCCCCGTCATTCATACCCAAGTCTGAATCTCCGTCTCTTCCTGGGATGATGTTAGGTCCCCGGCCGGCGGCCGTACTTGGCCTTGCAGTGCAAAATGTGCTTGGCGAGGAAGTCGAGGCGGCGCTGCAGCAGCTGAGCGTGAGGGTCGGCGAGCGCGGCCAGCTCGGGGAAGCGAGGCTCGTGGCGCCGGTAGAGGCGCAGCAGTCGGGCCGCCGCGTCCTGACCGCGGTGCATCTCCAGAACGCGCCTCGCCGTGCGCTCTCGGAACACGCACACCGACTGCAACAGCGGCTCGTTATACTTGTCCCACATGCCTGCCACTCGGTAGCCGTGCACCAAGCCTGCCTCGTTGTCCAGAAAGACCAGCGCCCCGCCCGGGCCGCGGTGCAGGTTACTGGTCGCGCGCTGCATAACGCGCGGGTCCCACTGCAGGCTGAAGAGGTTGCTCACAAGCCGGTCGAAGTTGGCTGTCAGGTAGTCAAAGAGGATCAGGTCGGTCCATTGCACTAGGTCCACCAGTTCCGCCTGGCTGAGGTTGGCCAGCTCACCCCCGGTGTCGCGCAGGGGTCGGAGACGGCCGTCCTCCGAGCGCCACGGCGCGGGCACCAACACGTCGGTGAGGTTGGGCAGCCAGCGCGTCAGACTCACCACACTGCCCTCGGTCCAGTGCGCGGCGCGCAGCTCCTCCTGCACCTGCGCCCACTGCGCGCCGCGAGCCTCCACCCGGGCCAGCGCGAGCGGCGGCACGTGGCGCTGGAGGCCCAGCAGGCGCGCCAGGTAGTAGGACAGGGCCTCTCCCTGGATCTGCTCCGGGTTGATGCCGTAGCGCACGCAGGCGCGGGTGCCGTCGGCAAAGCGGGCCAGCCGGTTCGAGCTGCGCCCGCAGCCCCCGCGCTCCAAAGCCACCACCCGGGCGCCGCGCGCC